CGCTACATTTTTCTTTCCCCTCTCCCCCGGGTCCATCTCTCTCTCCCCCAGGTCCATGTCTCTCTCCACTAGGTCCATCTCTCTCCCCGCTACATTTTTCTCTCCACCAGCTCCATCACTCTATCCCCCAGCTCCATCACTCTATCCCCCAGCTCCATCTTTCTCTCCATCAGGTCCATCTCTCTCTCTCCATCAGGTCCATCTCTCTCTCTATCAGGTCCATCTCTCTCTCCCCCAGGTCCATGTCTCTCTCCACCAAGTCCATCTCTCTGTCTCCAGCTCCATCTTTCTCTTCTCCAGCTCCATTTCTTTCTCCCCCAGCTCCATCTCTCTCTCCATCAGGTCCATGTCTCTCTCCACCAAGTACATCTCTTTCTCCCCCAGCTCCATCTCTCTCCACCAGGTCCATATCTCTCTCCCCGAGGTCAGCCCCTTCACAGATACACAGACTGGGCAGCTATGCTGGTGCCTCCCCCCAAATCTGTAGCTGCTGCTCTGTCACATCCTGTTCCTAGCTGCAGATCATTCTGGCAGTGGCTTCTGGTATTCAGTACTCTTTTTACAATTCTTGTTTAGTTTTTCTTGGTTTTTCTGGTTTTCTATTCCATGTCTGGTTTTCTTTATGCTGGGTTTTCTGGGTTCATTCCTGTATTCCGTTCCTGGAATTCCCAGTCTCTTGGATTCCTTTAAATGTTTGTTTTATGTTGCCAAACCCGTTCCTTTTCCATGATTCCTTTTGTTTCAGTTGCTCAAGTTCTCCTTTTTTTGCAGTTAAGTGCCATATGTGCTTTATTATGGTTTATTTGGCAGACATTAGGCAGAGTCGGACCTGCCAAATATGGGGCACATTGACGTTGTGGCAGGCTTATGCAATGTATGATCATATAATGTAACTAAATCCTCATACTTAGTTATTTCTCCTCTTATTTGCCTATCATATCATGTCTTCTTTTAGTTTGTATTCCCAGTCCATGTACTATCCTGTCCAGTCCTGCACATGTAATGTCAATGTTTCCAATGTATTGTGTACATGTTCTGGGTTTAGCTTCCTATCCTTCTCTGGGTCTGGGTTCTATTAGTTCTGTCTTGTTTCCATGTTTGGTGCCTTTCCTAGCCTTGCCTTGTTTCTGTACTGGATACTTTCCTGCTGCAGAGCCTCCCTATCCAGCTCCTGGGAGGTCTCCTTATTTCAAAGCTCCAAGTTCCTGGGATCCGCTAAAGCTGCATCAGGGTCTTGGTATGTGACCGCACGAACGCTGGTGCTCAACACCAGGGCGCGTGCGGTTACCCTGCACCAGACCCTGCTAATCCACTTCCACACTGTGACTCCTACTTTCAACTTCAGGCATACTGGGTCCTGGTCGTCCGACCGCCGCCCAGACTGTGTCTGGGTCCCGGTCACTGGACTGCCACCCTGACATGCTCCTTGCACCTCCTAAGAGTGGGAGGCCCTCTGCAAACCGGCCTGGGCCCCATACACCTATATGGACTGTACCCCCATCAAGGCAGCCCTGGCACTATTTTTCTTAATGTATAAAACTGTCCTGAGAGATATCCCTTTCTTCTAAAAGATCAGATACGATTCCTCGTCATCACTGCTGCATGGATACCTGCAGGTGAAAATGAAAAGCTATCACTGGAAATAAAATCTATCACCGACAACGTATTCTATCGGCATCAGACGCACACTGCACGACAAGTGCCCGTCTTCTCCATTACAATACACTCAGCACCTGCATGGAGTAGCCGCCATAATAAGCAATCAGTTATAATGCTACAGTATGGCTTCCCAGATCAAGTCCATTCCATCTGTTACAATTGCCGGATAATTGGCACAATGGAACACATCTTGCCTGGTTAGACTTTCGCTGTGAGGTGAGGCCTCGCCGCTGTCACAGGGAGAATTAAGATGGATGAGGCTCGTTGTGTTCATATTTTGCGAGCTATTCTGGTTGGCAAACAAGACAAGCAGGAAGGCAGAGCAGTCCAGAATAACAAATCATTACTGTCCCTCAATAAAAGACTCATTAGAAGCACGATGCATCTTGTTCACCTCCCAACACAATCACTATTCGTGCTTTAGGAATGGAAAATTCACCAATATCTACATTCATAAGGAAAGCGCTGTTAAGGAAAATGATTTGAGTTTACATGATAATTTTATTTTCCTGATCAATCACCACAGCAGCAATAATAGGTAATAGCCAATCTATAAATGTAACTGGACAGACAGATACAAAGTACTCAGATTCCAGCTACATGGAGTAATCACCAAACTGTACTGTTCAAATGAACCATAAATTCACAATATGTGAATATCAAAGGCTTTCAGCTCGATTTAAATTAATCCCCTGGTGTGTGAAAACCGGACGTGTTTTAGGGGAACACCCCAGAGAAACAAACGACCTTCAGAAATGACTGGACCATAAACCTGTGTCATTCTACCCTCAGCGTCAATACAAAGCCTGGAGAGCAGCTCCAGATAGCCAGGTCTATCAAATCAAAGACATTAAACGAGCTGTGATGTGTACAACATCACCAACATTACTACATTAACATTAACATCCGCTTAGGTTTCTTCGGCTATTTCAATATTTGGGAAGAGTTAGCAAATGAATTAATGCTGCCATCACAACTGATCAATTTCACCAAATTAGTAAGGGATACTTGATACAAGGAACAGAACACATCTTCATGAATATCCTAATCCAGATTATTCCCACTTTCACAGAGGAAGTGTGAGATCCATTTGACTAATTAATAGAGTATTTACATGTTTTATGTCATTTAAATAAATGCTGTTGTTTCATGTGTGCAATCGCTGTGTTTGTATTTTGTGTATTTTGTTTTCTGCTTGTATTGTAATATTTCAGACCCTCCCAGTGATCCCACAACATAACTCCAGCACTTTGTATCCCTCAACATTTCTTTCAGTTATGAACAAAAAAAGAAATTCTAATTTGAATTAGTTTGTTTTCCCTGAGGAGCAATTGTTACATGAGATAGCGTTGTTATCTTGCGTTACGTGCTAGCTGTGCATCTCATATTCCAATTAAACAGAAGGTTCACTTTTTATATTTTTTTGTGCCATGTACGCGGTATTGAATGGGATGGGTTTTCCCTTGCTGTTTTATGAGTGTGTAACATACATAATTTCAGCAGGCAAGGCAAACGTATAGCAGAACAACAACATTTCATATCTTTGCCAGTTTAACGCTATGAGCACCAGGCAGCGGTGTCGGAAAATATTGGTTGAGCCAGAAGCAAGCATCCTGTGTGCTTTCTGACCTATTCCTGCCATAACTCTCAGCCAATACAACAGCCCTTGGTTTAAACAGATGAACCTGTGGCCTGCGCATTTTTCCCGAATATTAACAGTTAAATAAGGCGCCCACACGGTGCCCGATATGGTATTTAATATATTCTAAAGCATATCAGATCTATCGTTGCTCTAATTCCATCCCAGACTCTGTACTGTCTGTCAGGCACAGTCGTTCTATGTCTTTAGACAGACGTGGTGCCCTGCCTGATTAATGCTTGGTTTTTATCACAGGGAACCAAGCAATGAGTGAATGAGGCCTTAGAAGGCAGCTCAGCCTCTTTATTTGATTTTATTGTTCTGTGGATACATTAGGCATAAGCCTGCAAACACCCCCTCCCCACCCCTCTCCTCCATTCAGTGGTTAGTATTCATTGCTGGGCATCTCTTGTACGATGCCACTAAAACCTTTCTCTCCGTAGTCATCCATATGCATGACACAACGACGCACAAAGGATCTATCAACATGCAACTCTGATCAGAGGCTCTGCCCATACAGTGCCAGGACGCAAGCAAGAACTGCTTGTCCGGGGGTGAGAGGACGCGCCAATCACGGGAATTAGGATCAATTAGGATTGATAATTCTTCTTAAAACTCCAGGAAATGTGTGCTTATTTTATTGCATTACACTTCTTTGCCATACTAAATTGATGAGAATAAAATATTTGCAATAAATCAATTTAAGGTAATTTATGCAGACTGCACATCAGGCAAATAGTATGATAGATAGTGAGACAGAAACCAACCACCCTTCTCCTGCCTGACCCCCTCCCAGAACCAACCAGCTCACTCCCTCATCACCTTACACGTGCTGTGAAAGGTCTACATGGCCACGGGAGGCGCTTGAGAGCTAGTCTCCTGGACATAGATTGTGGGCCCTACTGACCCAGAGCAGGCCAGCCTGAACACTAAAACGTTACTTCTACATTGGCTTTATTCGGTTATATTTTATTGTGTTGTAGCCTATGTTTCCCATACTTTGTATACATGATTTATGTGTTGTTTTTCTCACCGTGAGTTGAATGCAGAGTTGTAAAAGGCTAGACCTGGTTTATAAATAGCGAAATGATCTATAGGACACTACATGGCTGGTATTTTAAGAGTCTTCCATTAGCCAATGTCCATAAAGTAATCAATTCTCAGATTCTGCCAGACCTGTAAGAGGTCACTAGGATAATATTTATAAAATCAGAATGATAGGAGTGAGTGGATATTAGCTGCTACAGAGAACAAGCAATTCCGAAGATTCATAGTGTGATATTGGTGGCCCTCGGAGTGTAGGATCAGACTCATTAATGATTGGGTGATTGTTGGTGGGAAGAGCCTTGCTGACGGTGTGTGCTGCAGTTCTAATTTATCCTCCAGATCCTGGGTGATATCAGTTACAGGAGGGGGAACTAATGGGAGCTGAAGCTGTCATTACAAGAGCAATAAATGCTGATATGTTGCAGTTTATTTACTAAACACAGTATTGTAGTGAATTAAAAAAAAAAAAAAAACTGGGCTAAAACTGAGACTAAATTCCCAAGCTGCAATTCTGTGTTAAAATAAATCCCTCAGTAATTACAAATATTTTACTCAGAATGGAGGGAGTGCTTTGCTCTTTCCACAGTGAATCACAAGTAGGCTATATCCAGGGACGACCAGAAATTAGATTTATAAATTTATAAAAATCTTGCGTACAGTATGTGACTACTCGGTAAAAAAAAACATTTCATGAGCCTTGTACGATCGTCTGTGACTCCCTGTATGAAGGACTGTACAAGCTGGTACATTGATAGATTTAATGACCATACCTAGAGACCACTCATTCAGTAATAAAACTATGTTTGATGGTTAACTGAGGAATAACCACGGATTCGACAGAGTGAAGTCTTCATCGCCCACTCCAGTGTTAGCATTTATCATGTAAATTCATGCAGATTTATACCAGTAATTTCCAGGGAAAGGCAGACATTCTAAACGGAACATCTATCATGGACTTTGGGTTAAAAAAATGGAAAACGGCAGCTTGAGAAGCCAGAAAGAAATTAGAATGGTATATTCATCACGGTCTAAACTACACCAATGGGAAACTATCTGTCAGCTGCCAGTTCATCCAAGAAAAGACCTTAACTTGAAAGGAGTTTATTGGTAAATCATAAAGTGTTTTACTTTTTAAAATATTTTTATAAATGCCGACATATCTTGCGTGGGCTTTCACATGCATCGTCCCACAGCCAGCTGTGACGAAGTGCCCTTCGCCACTTTTGCCTGGAGAGGACTGCTTGCCCGCCTCTTGCCCTGTGACTATGGCCCCTGGGATGTATTGCCCTTTAAAGACATGATTTGGGCATAATGGATTTGTGTTGTGCTGCTGCTGGCCCTTTAAGAACCATCTGGGGACATACTGTGGAGTTACTGGGTGGCCACCATTTCCTGTATCAGAAGCACATGGTGAGAACAATGGATGGCGGCCATTTTAACTCACAGACACTGTTTGGACTTTTCAACACGGTGCCATCTTGCCAGTATTTGGTGCACAGAGACATTGTGCAGTGGTTTTGGACTATACAGCAGGGGACACATTATACAGTAATTGTTTTTCATTTAGCCTGTATATGTTCTGCAGAATCTGCATTAAACTGTATTTTCCAAAGTACTGAACGGATCTGGGTGAATTTTGGATATGTGGTTCACCCAGATCCCCCGGTTCCAAGGATATACTTTTATGGGGTTATTGCATGTTTTGGGGTCCCTGTGATGTATATTTTAGAAGTTATGAATGCTGTAAAAATTGTAATGTTTCTGGCCAGCAGATAATTGAGCTTTGTGTATTGTAGAAACTCAATTATCTAGCCTGGCCCAGAGGAGGAGTTTTGTGTTGCATAAATTGTGAGTTCTGTGTGCCAGTAAATCAGTCTTGTTCCAGCATTAAGCCTTGGCTCATGTTTGGGGGAAGGGATACCTACACTCTGGGGATTGCTATAATCACTTACTCCCCAGAGGAAGCTCTTGCAATAGCTTGATTTGTTCCTGTTCCTGCTCTCTGGGGAAAGAGAGGTTCACCCACTGGAAGCTGGATCCTGGCCTTGGGTCCAGGGTGGGTGGAGACAGCAGAGACCCCAGCGCAGTTGCATCGCTGGAAGTGGGGTCTGCAGTGCTGATGGTGTCGGTTGGAGTGCTTGGAGTCCTCGGCAAGCGCTAGGAGCATCGATTGGCGGAGGTACTCAGTCGGAGTGCCAGCGTTCCGTCACATTTGGTGGCAGCGGTGGGATGGCGTCCTAGTGCGAGGACCAGCAGCTCAGAGACACCGGTAATGTGTGGAGTTACGGATTTATAATTGAGGGCAACGCTAGCCTCTGCGCAGCGCCCCTACCTACAGCAACATGGAGCTAGCAAGACCCTGGACAGCAGCCAGTGAATTGCAAATCCGCCTGTCACAGTGCTATGAGGGTGCTGATTTCATGAAGGAATTAAAGGCGCGGCTGGTCTGGTTTGGCCCAAACCCTTCAGATGAGGTGGTCCATCAAGTGATGCGCATGATGAGTGCTGAGAACCAAGACGCACGGAACTTCGAGTACCAACTGTGGAGTTTGGGGGTATTGACACCCCGTCTCCAGCGACAGAGTGAGTTACAGGGAGAGGAGAGCAGCGACCTCCCTTCCCAGTGGCAGTGCACCGTACAGAGGGAAGAGACAACCGGTCTCTCTCCCCAGCGGCAGTGTCCCCCCCAGGGAGCTGAAGGTGCCATCCTTCCTCCCCGGCGGTAGTGTGTATCCCAGGGAGCTGAAGGTGTCGTCCTTCCTCCCCAGCGGCAGTGTGTGTCCCAGGGAGTTGAAGGTGCCGTCCTTCCTCCCCAGCGCCAGTGTGTATCCCAGGGAGCTGAAGGTGTCGTCCTTCCTCCCCAGCGGCAGTGTGTATCCCAGGGAGCAGAAGGTGCCGTCCTTCCTCCCCAGCGGCAGTGTGTACCCCAGGGAGCAGAAGGTGCCGTCCTTCCTCCCCAGCGGCAGTGTGTACCCCAGGGAGCAGAAGGTGCCGTCCTTCCTCCCCAGCGGCAGTGTGTACCCCAGGGAGCAGAAGGTGCCATCCTTCCTCCCCAGCGGCAGTGTGTGTCCCAGGGAGCAGAAGGTGCCGTCCTCCCTCCCCAGCGGCAGTGTGTATCCCAGGGAGCTGAAGGTGTCGTCCTTCCTCCCCAGCGGCAGTGTGTACCCCAGGGAGCAGAAGGTGCCATCCTTCCTCCCCAGTGGCAGTGTGTATCCCAGGGAGCCAAAAGTGTCGTCCTTCCTCCCCAGCGGCAGTGTGTACCCCAGGAAGCAGAGACCGTCTGTCTCGCACCCCAGCCGCAGGACAAAATATTGAAAGGGGAGACAGTTGGTCCCCCTCTCCACCAGCAAAGAGAGTGTCAGGGAGAGGAGCAGGTTACCCCCTCTCCCCAGCAGCAGTCTACAGTTCAGAGAGAGGAGCTTGTTACACCCTCTCTCCAGCGGCAGCCTAACTCACCAAGGGGAGATGTTAAGCCCCACAACTATGGAGATGGGACCGAAGTCTCTCTGCCAGCCCTACAGGGATGCTGGGCATTCAGCCCAGGTCCCCAGCGGCAGTATAATATACAGGTAGGGGAGACAACTGGTCTCTCTCCCCAGCGGCGGCCTGAGTTCCAGGAGGAGGTGATGGTCAATCCCTCCACCTTACAGCAACCAGCGTCCTGTGGAGTGGGGGCAACCAGCCTCCCCCTCCAACAGCAGCCAGAGATACCGGGAGAGGGGGAAGACAAACCTAACCACACTGGCACAGATGGGACCGCGGTCTCTGTGCCAGTCCTACAGGGAGGCTGGACGGGCGGTCCAGATCCCCAACCAACTCCGCAGGGATGCCAGGAGGAGGAGGTAAGTGAAACTTCCCCTCCCCAGCTACATCCCAACCGGGTCCTGGGGGCAGTGGATGAGCCTGTGATACCCACTGACCCCCTCCCAGCAGAAGAGCTGGCATCTGGGCAGAGCTCTGTTAGCCTCTGCCCCCCCATTTCCCCTGTATCAGAGCCTGACTTACCACGGGTTACCACAGTGGAAGAGCTGGCAGCAGGGCAGAGCGCCGCTGGCCTCTGCCCCCCAAGCAACACCAGCAGTTTGCCTAGCTGCACCAGGGAGACGAGAGTGCTGCGCTGTCCCACTACAAACTTGAACCTACAGGCCAGTACCATTTATTGTGGGGGGGTTACTCTGCGTATTTTTCTTTGTGGGTGGGCTGCCCGACTAATCTAGGTACTGACCGGCAGAAGGTCAGGTACCTGTTTAGTCTTCCCCCCAAAGGGAAGATGTGTGACGAAGTGCCCTTCGCCACTTGTGCCTGGAGAGGACTGCTTGCCCGCCTCTTGCCCTGTGACTATGGCCCCTGGGATGTATTGCCCTTTAAAGACATGATTTGGGCATAATGGATTTGTGTTGTGCTGCTGCTGGCCCTTTAAGAACCATCTGGGGACATACTGTGGAGTTACTGGGTGGCCACCATTTCCTGTATCAGAAGCACATGGTGAGAACAATGGATGGCGGCCATTTTAACTCACAGACACTGTTTGGACTTTTCAACACGGTGCCATCTCGCCAGTATTTGGTGCACAGAGACATCGTGCAGTGGTTTTGGACTATACAGCAGGGGACACATTATACAGTGATTGTTTTTCATTTAGCCTGTATATGTTCTGCAGAATCTGCATTAAACTGTATTTTCCAAAGTACTGAACGGATCTGGGTGAATTTTGGATATGTGGTTCACCCAGATCCCCCGGTTCCAAGGATATACTTTTATGGGGTTATTGCATGTTTTGGGGTCCCTGTGATGTATATTTTAGAAGTTATGAATGCTGTAAAAATTGTAATGTTTCTGGCCAGCAGATAATTGAGCTTTGTGTATTGTAGAAACTCAATTATCTAGCCTGGCCCAGAGGAGGAGTTTTGTGTTGCATAAATTGTGAGTTCTGTGTGCCAGTAAATCAGTCTTGTTCCAGCATTAAGCCTTGGCTCATGTTTGGGGGAAGGGATACCTACACTCTGGGGATTGCTAGAATCACTTACTCCCCAGAGGAAGCTCTTGCAATAGCTTGATTTGTTCCTGTTCCTGCTCTCTGGGGAAAGAGAGGTTCACCCACTGGAAGCTGGATCCTGGCCTTGGATCCAGGGTGGGTGGAGACAGCAGAGACCCCAGCGCAGTTGCATCGCTGGAAGTGGGGTCTGCAGTGCTGATGGTGTCGGTTGGAGTGCTTGGAGTCCTCGGCAAGCGCTAGGAGCATCGATTGGTGGAGGTACTCAGGCGGAGTGCCAGCGTTCCGTCACACCAGCGTATTACTGCGGGCACCACACAAAGTGCAATAGTGATAATGGACTATTCATAATAGCGACCAATAGAATGGAAATGAATTTTACTGTGATCATAACATATCCCCTAACTGTAACACATATGTATCTGTATTTGCACCTGGTAGTCAGCATAAAGAGAGCCTAAAATTAGGAAAAGAAACAAAAATGAGGTGCTACCGCTGCACTGAGTAAAACTCAATCTGGGAATCACGTGACTTCAGTGTGTGATTGGAGGAGAGCAGAATTTGGCTGCCCTGCGTGTCTCCAATCCATTGCTTCTCTTTGAAGATACTTGGAATCTAAAATTACTAGTGGGGGAGATGGAGCCTGCAGAAGAGGAGTCACAGCTCTAGAAATGAGGTAAGTAATCTTTTTTAAGCTTTAACTTTGGGAGGGGGGTTGGACAGAGGGGAACCTATGGTATTGAAATATTGATTGCCATTTTCAGGACTCATGTTTAATTTCAAGAGCATTTTAGTAACATTGAGATTCATGACCTATTAAGACAATGTACTGGTGTGGCAGAAATGATTCTGCCACGTGTTCTTGGAGGGGCTTGCTTGCCAGCCTCCTGCCAAAACACTACGGGCCCTTTAAAAACTTTATGTACATTTGTTCCGACCGTTGGCCCTAATTCTCTGAAACTGTTTTGGGCATAGGACCATGTGCACGGTCGGCCAAAATTATGACTTCCATGGAAATCCCAAACCCCTGAACTGATCTGGGTGATTTTTGGATATGTTGGTCCCCCAGATCTGGGCTACCAGGGGATATGACTTTTGTGGGGTTTCCATGTGTTTTGAGGATACTTTCGGTGATTGTTAAAATGAATGTTTTCTGTGCCTGGAGATAATGGAGTTTAGTACAGTTCCTGACTCTCAGGCACAGGGAAGGAATTATCCTGTTTTGTGCGGGAGTGTCCTGGACCTGAGAGCCAATGTAATTACAGTGTGTTTTTGTCACAGTCCCCTCTCAGGTCCGGTGGGGAATGCCCCTGTAATATGTTATGGAAAACCCCTTGCATGGGGACTTGCATATAAGGCCAGTTGTAGGTGCCAATAAACAGTTCAACATCACCCTCAATACAGAGCCTCATCTTGTGATTGTAGGGAACAGATATACCACTTGTAAGAGCTATCCTGCTATACTCTCTGTAGTAGGAGAGGTCTACCCACTGGAAGCTGAATCCCTGACTCGGGTCCAGGATTCATGACCTATGATGACAATGTACTAAGAACGAGATTCATGATCTATGAAGACCAGGTATTGGGCATTGAGATTCATTGTAGCGGAGATACAATATTCCCCAGATTAAGATCCCAGTGAGGCTCAGGAACAAGTAAATTATAAATCCACAGGCAGGGTTTCCAACAGGCAAAATAATCCAATAGTATCCCCACAGCAATCCCAATGACTGGACGACACACAGCATCAGGAGCAGAACTGAAAGCTTTATTCTACAGTGGCCTTTTAAAGCATGCTCCCATGCAAGGGAGGGATTAAATTCATTAACACAATAGCCAATCCTGTCCTGGTAACCTCCCACACATCTCCTCCCCTCAGCCGGCATCATAATCCCCTTATCCAGTACAGCAATTCCCCCCCCGTTTCTGGATGTACCCCTAAACCTAGGGGTACCACTTTAAATTCTGCATCCCCTGGTAGCCCTGATCTGGGTGAACAACATATCCAAAAATCACCCAGATCAGACCAGGGGTTCGGGAATTTCATGGAGGGAATAAAATGACCGACTGCGCTGGATGAACTAGCCGAATTGGGCTCCATGCGATTGGGCCCTGCGGTCGGTCCTGGAAAAGGCGAATGAAGTACCTGAAAGCCTCCAGCCTGAATCCCCTCGTTCGGTTGATTATGTCTACCGAACGAAAGGCCGTTTGGTAGTTTGGAACCGAACGGACCGGGCTGATGGAGGTCTCAGCGGTGTTCGCCTAGTCGAGTGTCCGTTTTGAGTTCCAGACACTCGACGGAAAACAAGGCTGTTCGTGTTCGTTTCTCGAATGGCGGCCACCCCCAAGAACAAAGGATTGCTACCCAGCTTGTCAATTACCCGTTTGCAACAATGTTGCAACGGGTAATTGAAGGCACACTTTACACAGGGGAGGTCTGACTGTTCGGTAGTTTCATTCGAACAAACTAAGGGAATGAAACTACCTAACATTCAGACGAATCCAATACATTTTACAAATAGAACTTTGCTATTTTACACGAATGCATTCCCTTACTGCATAGACATTTAGCAAATAGACGAATACAGGTTAAACATAATACAAGTCCCAGGGCAGCCCATGGCCATCCGCTACACTGCTCCCCCTTGCCCACAAGCCGGCATACACAGTCTGATCCAACACGGATCAGCTTGGGGATGTCCAGGGAGGCTCACAGATCATTTCTCCAGGTTGGTTTGTCTTGACAACCCGTCAGCATTTCCATTCTGTTTACCCGGGCGGTACTGGATATTAAAGTCAAAGGGCTGCAGCGCCAAACTCCAGCGCAGCAGCCTGGCATTGTCCCCAGCCACCCGGTTTAGCCAGACCAACGGGTTGTGATCCGTGAGCAGGGAAAAAGCTTGCCCATACAAATACGGCTGCAATTTCTTCAGGGCCCACACCACAGCCAGGCATTCCTTCTCAATGGCGGCGTAGCTTACTTCTCAGGGTAACAGCTTGCGACTGATGTAAGCCACGGAATGTTCTCCGCCATCGGCCCCGACTTGGCTCAGTACTGCTCCCAATCCAAACATAGAAGCGTCTGTGTGAACAAGAAAACGTTTAGTTGGATTGGGAGCTGCCAAGACAGGGCCATTGGTCAATGCATCTTTCAACAGTTGGAATGCCTGCTCACACTCCGGGTCCAGGTCACTTGGCGGGGAAGGTTCTTACGGGTTAAGGCATTGAGGGCACTACAGTTTGGGACAAATTTCCGGTAGTACCCGGCTGTTCCTAGAAACGTTAATACCTGAGTCTTAGTCCTAGGGGTAGGCCATTGGGCTACAGCCTCTACCTTGGATGGTTCTGGCTTCTGCTTGCCACATCCTACCCGATGGCCGAGGTATTGTACTTAGGCCATTCCTATGCTGCATTTGACTGGTTTCAGCGTTAAACCAGCTGCCCTAATCCTGTCTAGGACCGCTCCTATATGGGCCAAGTGTTCCTGCCAGGTATTGCTGAAGATGGCAATATCATCGAGGTAGGCACAGGTATAATCTTGGAACCCATCCAGGAGGCGGTCCACCATCCGCTGAAATGTAGCCAGGGCGTTTTTCATCCCAAACGGCATGACCTTAAATTGGTACAAGCCGAATGGGGTGACAAAGGCCGACTTAGGGATGGCGTCTTGTGCTAAGGGAATTTGCCAATACCCCTTACACAAGTCAATAGTGGTGAGATAGTGTCCTCTAGCCATCCGGTACAGTAGTTCGTCTATCCTGGGCATGGGATAGGCGTCAGATACTGTCTTCTCATTCAGTCTCCGGTAGTTACACAAAAACGGGTCGTTCCGTCCCTTTTGGTACTAGCACTACCGGAGAAGCCCAGGGGCTGTCGGAGGGTTCAATCACCCCCAGCTGGAGCATCTCATCGATCTCCTTGCGCATGTTTTTCCCGTACCGCTTCTGGGATGCGGTACGGGGTCTGACGCATGGGAAGTTGACCTGGGGTGTCTACTCGGTGAGTGGCCAGATGAGTGTAACCAGGTACATTAGAGAAGATATCTTGCTTCTCCCTCAATAGTTGTTGTACCTCGCTCCGCTCCTGTGGGCTCCCAGTGCAACCTCCCCTAAGTCCCCAGATAACTGACCCTCTCCCAGCAGATCTGGGAGAGGCAGACTGTTAAACTCCTCCGAGTTAGGCGCGCATATGGCGGTCACTTCCTCTGAGCGCTCCTGGTAGGGCTTCATCATGTTCACATGGAGCATGCATCGCCCTCCAGTACCAACGCAAGAGCCTATTATATAAGTGGTGTCACACCTTTGTTCTACCACTTTATAAGGGCCTTGTCAGGTGGCCTGCAGCTTATCGTGTCGGACAGGTTCTAAAATTAACACTTTCTGCCCGACCTGAAAGCTACGGTCCCTGGCGCCCCGATCATACCATGTGCGCTGGCGGGTCTGAGCCGCCTGCAAATTCTCTCGTACCGTCTGGGTTAGGGCCTCCAGGCGTCCTCGGAATGCCAACACATATGGTATGATGGGAGTACCGTCGGTGCTCCGTTCTCCCTCCCAATGCTCTCTAATTAAATCTAAGGGCCCCCGTACCCTGTGGCCAAACAATAATTCGAATGGGGAAAACCCCGTGGATTCCTGCGGCACCTTCCTGTAAGCAAAGAAGAGGTGAGGCAGGAATTTCTCCCAGTCCTTGTGGGTCTCTGCGAAGGTTCGGAGCATTTGTTTCAATGTACCGTTGAAACGTTCGCAGAGCCCATTAGTCTGGGGGTGGTAAGGGGAACTAATGACAGGCTTGATGTCACAGAACCTCCAGAGGTGCTGCGTGACTTCGGCGATGAACTGGGTACCCTGATCCGAGACAATCTCCCTGGGAAGTCCCACCCGGGAGAATTTCTGCATGAGGGCTTCCGCTACCGTTTCAGCATGTATATTCGTCAGGGCCACCGCCTCTGGATATCTAGTGGCATAGTCTACCACTGTCAGGATAAATCTTTTGCCGGATGGGCTCGCTTTGTTGAGGGGTCCTATTAAATGGACTGCTACCCTGCTAAAGGGTTCCTCAATTATGGGGAGTGGGTGTAGCTTGGCCTTGCGCCTGTCCCCCCTTTTCCCCACCCTTTGGCATGTATCGCAAGTGTTGCAATACCTGCGCACTTCCTGGCTAACTCCAGGCCAAAAGAAACTTTGTGTTAACCTGTGCCGGGTCCTGCTGACCCCTAAATGTCCGGATTGTGGAATGTCATGTGCTATCCGGAGTAACTCTGCTCGGTACCGCTGTGGTACCACCAACTGTCTCATCATGATCGGGTCTGACCCGGCTATCTGCTTATCCGTCTCTCTGTACAACAGCTGTTTGTCCCAGATAAGCCTTTCGCCATCTCCCCCGGGAGCGTCTGCTGTCACCTTGTCCCTATACACCTGCAATGTGGGGTTGGTCACTACCTCGGCTGCAAATTCGTTAGGAGGGGCCCAGGGGACACAGTCTAGGGAAGGGGAAGGATCTCTTACCTGAACCTCCGGTAAACCTATGGGGTACCACTTTAAATTCTGCATCCCCTGGTAGCCCTGATCTGGGTGAACAACATATCCAAAAATCACCCAGATCAGACCAGGGGTTCGGGAATTTCATGGAGGGAATAAAATGACCGACTGCGCTGGATGAACTAGCCGAATTGGGCTCCATGCGATTGGGCCCTGCGGTAGGTCCTGGAAAAGACGAATGAAGTACCTGAAAGCCGGACCGGGCTGATGGAGGTCTCGGCGGTGTTCGCCTAGTCGAGTGTCTGTTTTGAGTTCCAGACACTCGACGGCAAAACACCGCTGTTCGGGAGTTTAAGATGGCCGCCGCCACGTGTTCGTTTCTCGAATGGCGGCCGCCCCGAGAACAAAGGATTGCTACCCAGCTTGTCAATTACCCGTTTGCAACAATGTTGCAACGGGTAATTGAAGGCACACTTTACACAGGGGAGGTCTGAATGTTCGGTAGTTTCATTCGAACAAACTAAGGGAATAAAACTACCTAACATTCAGACGAATCCAATACATTTTACACATAGAACTTTGCTATTTTACACGAATGCATTCCCTTACTGCATAGATATTTAGCAAATAGACGAATACAGGTTAAACATAATACAAGTCCCAGGGCAGCGCATGGCCATCCGCTACATTCATGACTTATGAAAACCAGGTATGGGGCATCAAGATTCATAACTTATGAAGACAAGGTATGGGGCATCAAGATTCATGACTTATGAAGAACAGGTACTGCGATCGAGATTCATGACTTATGAAGAACAACTATGGGGCATCAAAATTCATGACCTTTGAAGATCATGAAGTTAAACTCAAGGTTCAGCTTCAAAAAAAAGTATAGGATGGATGTTTGAGAGCCGGTATACCTATAACCTACCCTATATTGTCTCCGCTCTCCTTCACACTATCGTGTTTCTAAAGCCTGTTGAATAATTAATAATAAAACTGCCAGCTTTCTATAGAGCACCTACCATCCGAGCATTGTCATTCATAAAAGCATAAATACCAAGTATAAACTCCTATCTGCACTTTCAGAGTGCAGATCACCATATAACATATGCCTACACGCAGGAGATACCGGTGTATGCAAAGTGGGTCTTGGCAGTTGCGAGACTGTCTACAAAGTGCCCCCTGGTGTAAAACCAGTCACTGCGTATGCTTTATATCTGATGATGGGCCTTGGAGCCGTGGTCCTGTCTACAAAGTGCTCCCTGGTGTAAACCAGTTACTGTGAATGCTGGATATTTGATGATGGGCCTTGGAGTTGTGAGACTGTTTACAAAGTATCCCCGGTGTAAAACCAGTCACTGCGTATGCTTTATATCTGATGATGGGCCTTGGAGCCGTGGTCCTGTCTACAAAGTGCTCCCTGGTGTAAACCAGTTACTGTGAATGCTGGATATTTGATGATGGGCCTTGGAGTTGTGAGACTGTTTACAAAGTATCCCCGGTGTAAAACCAGTCACTGCGTATGCTTTATATCTGATGATGGGCCTTGGAGCCGTGGTCCTGTCTACAAAGTGCTCCCTGGTGTAAACCAGTTACTGTGAATGCTGAATATTTGACGATGGGCCTTGGAGTTGTGGGATTGTCTACAAACTTTCCTCTGGTGTAAAACTAGTTACTGTGTATGCTTAATA